TGCCTTGTTAAAAATGGGTATGCAGGTATTTCCGTTGTATGTTTTGATTTTTTCAAGACATAATCAGGAGTGATATTGCTGGATTATAGGGTAGTTCTTTTTTTATTTTTTTGAGGCACCTCCTTACTGATTTCCACAGTGGCTGTACTAATTCATATTCCCAACAATAGTGTGCAGAGTTCCTTTTCTTCCTGCATTCTTACTAGCACTTGCTATTTTTAAATTTTCTTGATAATGGCTATTCTGACTGGGATGAGATAGAATTTCAATGTAGTTTTTATTTATATTTCCCTGATGGTTAAAGATGTTGAATATTTTTTACATATAATTATTGACCATTTGTATCATACACTTTTGCTGGAATAAAATCACACATTTTTCCCACTCTGTGGCCTTATGTTTGTATGGCTGATAGTCATACCCAGTACAAACCAACCATAGGTTTTATTTATAGTGGCTACTATTTTCATTTCCTAGCAATAAATTGCATTTAATCTTCATTCACAGCTAAGTAAATAAGTAACAAAATTTAAAAAACCTTAAATCTAAACAAAATCCTCCTTCTTTCTTGACAGTTTTTTGTTTGTTAGACTATCCATGTTCTTGAAGTGGCAAGTTAATGAGTAGTTACTGAGGGATAGTGCACTTACTTATATAAGAGTTGATTTCACACTCATTTTTACTGTTCCTTTTCTTGCTGATTTTTCTAGCTTCTTTGGATGCTTTCCAATTTACTAGGAATTGTCTTTCCACATTTTTAATTTCCTTTCCATCAAGAAATTCTGGAAAAAAATACATATATTAAAAATACAACAGGGAGGGTCTGGGGTTGTGGCTCAGGGGTGGAGGGCTTGCCTAGCATGGGCGGGACCCAGGTTTGATCCTCAGCACCACATAAAAATAAAGGCATTGTGTTGTGTCCATCTACACCTTAAAATAAATAAATAAATAAATAATAAAAAAGAAATAGTTTGTCTAATTAAAAAAAATACAATAGGGGCTGTGGCTGTGGCTCAGTGGTAGCGCACTTGCCTGGTATGTGTGAGGCACTGGGTTTGATTCTCAGCACCATGTATAAATAAATAAAAATAAAGATCTATCAACAACTAAAAATATCTTAAAAATATATATACATATGAATGTATACATAAAAATATACACTTCTGATATAGGGTACATGAACTTAAGTTACACCATATAACTGACCTCATTTGTATGACGTATTTTGTTGAATTTTCATTAATTTTTAATTTTTTTCTAACTTCAATATGTGCTTTTTACAAACAACTGAAATGTGATGGTAAAAAACATGAAAAGGCACTGTAACTATCCATATTTCCCTCCCTCATCACTGCCAAAGATAATTACTATAAACAATTTTGGCATATGGTCCCCTTTCTAGGGTTTTATATAGACTTATATAGACTATATATTATTTTTAAAAGCAAAAATGCTATTATACGCAATGATAATTAAATAGAATATTCTCTTTACTTAAATAATATGATTATTATTATTAGGAAAAATATTTTTGTTAAAATGGATAACAAGTTTTAAATATGTAGCATGGTATTTTTAAAGCACATAATGTTTATTATATTCTAGGACATAGATGTAAAAGCCTACATCTTGTTTCTGAGGTGGGATTTCAGCTATCTTTACATTTTGTTCCTTTAAAAAAGTTCTAAAAAATTGAGCTTCTTAAATTACACAAATAATTTTTATATGTTGTAAGATATTTGGAACATATAAAATATCAAAAAGAAAAAAAATAAAATTGCCTTATTCCACAAGGAATAAGCATTGAAAATCACTGATAACACTTTAGAATATTTTTGGGCAATTTTTTCTTTGCTATTCATTTATGTGTATTTACATGTATATTATATAAATGGAATTCTTTAGTTATATAGTTTTACATATTGCTTTAAAAATATTGAATTGTGAGCATTACTATCTTTCTTTAAACACAAAATTTTAAAGAAATTTTTTTAACACATTTAATGGCTGATAGTTCTTTTGCATATGAGTATACTATAAAATATTGAATAATTCTCTTCATATTTGGGGGTACCAGGGATTGAACTCAGGGGCACTCAACCACTGAGCTATATCCCCAACCCTATTTTATATTTTATGTAGAAACAGGGTCTCAACTGAGTTGCTTAGCACACACCTTGCTTTTGCTGAGGCTGACTTTGAACTTAGCCTTAGCCTCCTGAGCCACTGGGATTACAAGTATGTGCCATTGCACCTGGCTAAATAATTCTCTTCTTATATGTTATCTTATATTTCCTATATTATCTTTTTCAGTTCTGGAGATCAAATGCAGGGTGGCTATAATGTCTCAGCCCTTTTTATTTTTTATTTTGAGACAGGGTCTTGTTAAATTGCCCCCAGGATAGCCTTGAACTTGCAATCCTCCTGCCTCAGCCTCCTGAGCCTCTGAGATTATGGGCATGTTCCATGGTACCCAGCCCTATTTGCATTTGTAATCACATAGATAAGGATGATTCGTGTGGTCTTCGTTTATACAAAGTCTTATCTTTTCTAAGAACATTCCTGTATAATTTTTAAATTAAATGTTTTCTCTCATCATGCATGTAATATCTTCCACTATTCAGTGGTAAGGATGTAATAAAATAAATCATATTCTTTCAGGAAATATGAGAATTGATAAAATATTAATTGTGCTGCTGAATTTATTAACACTGCCATTTATTTATTTATTTTTAAATTAGATTTTATTTAGTACACCAATACAATTTATCCTGGTAATAAATTAATATGTAGTTATAAAAATGTTTGTGCTATCCAAGAAAAATGCTTTTTAATGTATAAAGTATATGCAGATCCTTCAAACAGCCGACTTAATTTTCAAACTCAGAAGTGTGGTAACATCGCTGATGAAAATTGGGAGTTTTCCTGAATTCATGATTCATAAGTTTTGAGTTTATCAAGGTTTCAACTGCCCTTTCCATTCTGGCAATCCCCCACACCTGAAATGAGAACTGATAGCTGAAAACGTTCTGATCCCATCTCCTATACCTGTACAGGTGAGGGATCCACTGGCCTGAACTCAAGACCCCAGAGCTAATCAGACAGAGATTGGATTAAATCAGTTCACAGAGGTGCTCCACAAATGTCTGTGGGGCTAAATAAGGCACAAGCATCACTCAGAACTCCAATCATACCTGAAAAACCTTGGTTTTACTTTCTGCTTACTATAGAATTAATTCCTGGTATGTGCTGTTGTAGTTCTCAAACTTAAAACAACACTGTTGCTTTAAAACAAAATCATTCCTATTATTGCAGCATTATCAACAATCACTGACTGCCAATGCTGTTTGTATTTCTTTTCTCCTGGGATGTTTGAACTTGGGCAAATTTTCTTCCTGTTCTGTGCTCACAGTAGACCCTCACCAAGGATGTCTGTTCTTGCTTGAAATTCATTGGCAGCGGAGAAAGTTTATATATAGTTAGTACCATCTAAAATGAGGTTGAGACAGTTCATTTCTCTTTGCAGGTCACTGCCCACTAGAGTTAACTTGTATCCTGCTCTGTTCATCTGAGCAGTCACTTTGCTTTTCAAAGTTGTGTGGATTACTTCTGGGCTGACAATGTTCCAAGCAGCAGTGAGACTTCTCATCATGTCACAAATATGCCATATAATGTACGAAATATATCTAGCATATAATTTTTGATTTATTATGTGTCTCAGCCTAATGGTTGCATACAGCCATGCTACTACCAGATTTTTTTTTTAAGTCCACTTGTTTTAATTTAAACTTCCAAAGATTGTGTGTAGTTTATTTATCAACCAGTATAGAACACTCATACTCTAAGAAGCTTTTCTAATTGCAGGAGCCATACCTAAAACAACTTGCCAGGTATCAGTGCATTTTCATACAGACAGCAAAGTTGTGTTTATAATGGAAATTTTTTCCAATTTTCTTGTGATTCTAATTTCTTGCTACTCTCAGCACTCTAGCAAAGGAAACTAATAGTCTATCTTCATATATTTCTCTTACTCCCTAGCAACATTTCTCTGTAGGAATGCATGTTTGGTTTAGATGTGTCCACATGGACATATTTATTCAGAACAGGCCTCCTATTTTTAAGTTCATTCTCTATTGTAGATGCTTTACTTTTTAGGAGTAGTGACACAATACTGTGATAGGCTAAAAGCACTGGAACTAGCCACAGAGACTTGGCATTAACCTCTCTATGAAATGCAATTTCATTAGTTTTATCAGAAAATAAACAAAAATCAAAATATATGCTTTGATCTGGTAAAATAATTAAAGCATTCATTTACTAATTTGGCATGTTTAACTCCTCTCATTGTTAACAACTTTGCTTCCTTCTGATTTTTTTTTAATCTTGTCATGATTTTTAAGGAACATAAGGACTCTCCACTTCTTTAATCATTTCACTGTAGATTTTTCTTCCTTATTCAACTAACCTTCCTTATTCACTACCACAATAGAACTCTGTGCATGAAGTGTAACAGAAAAAACATGCTAAACAGAACCTGAACATTCTAATAATAGCAAGACTGGGGAGACTGGCTTGGTGAGGGAACTGGAAGTGCAGTACTGATGAAGCAACAAATTTTAAGTTAGAGTAATAAAGCTGATGTCAAATTTCAAAGAAAGGGCTAATTTTAACCATATTGGTAACTAATTAAAAATATATCTTTTAAACTAAGAAATCCTAATGACTGAGGTAGATGATGCTGTTATCAGATACTGAATTAGGTTTAAGGTATAAGGGAAAGAAAGCACTGATATAAAATTATCTTCATTTAAATTCAGATGGATAATTAAGAATGCTTCCGATTCAACATTCTAAACATGAAATCCAGGTATGACCTATCTGGTGCTCACTTTTCTATTTGAAGATGAACTCAGCAGTTGGTGAAAAGATCCACACGCTAACAGAATGGCAAACCACAAAACAGTTTTCCCCATGAAAAAAATCAGTTACTCTACGTTTGATATTTCCACCTGGGCTCATTCTCAACTGTTCAGGATGTGGATTCCTGAAGGTTTCTTCAGCATTTAACTAATTCTTTGTTGGATGAAGGGGCCGGGACTGTTTCTCCACACATAAATTGATCTTTGTCATAAATTACTTTTATAATGAGAGAGCAGCTAGGACACGTTGCCACGTCTTCCCCATTCTCCAAATCTTCCTTGGTGATGGAAAAGTTATCCCCACATGGACAGGGGTAGAAATACATTTCGGAGTCCTCATCATATTGGAAGTCCTCGATCTCCACCTCGTCGTGAAACACTGCCATGGGGTCGTCGGGGCCGGCAGAGGGCAGATGCCCCAGCCGTCTGACAACGCCTCTGTTGGTCTAACTTCCCGGAAAAAAAACAACACTGCCATTTAAATATGATCTATGATGTTGTGTTACATCCAAGGCACAAAATAAATTGATGAAACTGGAACACAGTTGTCCTTCATTATTCATGGTATATATACTTCAAGACTCCCATTGGATGCCTGAAACTACTGAATACTATATATATATATACTGTGTTATTATATAATACATACCTATGATAAAATTTAATTTATAAATAGGTATATTAATAGATTGACAATAATTAATAATAAAATAGAACAATTATATCCAGATACTGTAATAAAAGTGAATGTGGGCTGTTTCTCAAAATATCTTATTGTACTATAATGTGTTTTCTGATCTTGGAAAGAAAACCACAGATAAAGGGGGACTAATGTATAAATTAGAACCATGAACCCTAGAAGTACAGTGTCTTCGTATTTTTGTTTCATGAACTTTTCTTAACTGAATAATAACACTTCAAGAAATTGGTTAAATGTTTTATCATAATATATGTTAGTACTTATAACTTTACATTAAGGGTCATTCTTTTATGTTCAGTTTTCTTAATAACTTAATTTATTCATATCTTTCCTGGTTCATTTTTTATTAATAATTACATAATATGTTATTTTTTTGATGGAATGTATGTAATCAGTACATATTTTTAAAAACATCTATTATAAACATAAGAAAAGATGGACTGGGGCTGTGGCTCAGTGGTAGAGTGCTTGCCTCACACAGGTGAGGCACTGGGTTTGAACCTCAGCACCACATAAAAATAAATAAATAAATGTATTGTGTCCATCTACGACTAAAAAACATGTTTTTTTTTAAAAGGAATGAAAAATCCAAGTCTTTTAACACAATTTTTTTTTTAATTAGGGATTGATTCAGGGGCGCTTTATCACTGAACTACATCCCCTTTTTTTTTTTTTTAATCTTGAGATGGGATTTTGCTAAGTTGCTGAGACTAGCCTCAAATTTATGATCTTTCTGTCTTAGCCTCCTGAATCTGTGTGATTACAGGTATGCACCACTGTGCTTGGCCAATTTCTTCTTTTTTATGTTAATGTCCGAGACAGAATTTGCAGTGACTATAGGATTGTGCCTCAGTTAACTTGATTCCATCTCATTTTTAGCAAATTATTTTATTTGAGGTTATTATGTATAGAAACCAGGTAATGGACACAAGATCTTATGAGATTTATTTTTTTTAATGAGCTGCTTTCAGCATGAAATTTGTTTCCATTCATGCCAAGTAAATCGAATATATGCGTGTTCTATTTGGTGAAGAATGGGTAATTTATGAAACATAATATGGCTGCCTAGAAGTCCTTCTTACTAGGATACATCAAACCATGTCTTCCATTGATTTTATTTTTACATTTAGTAAAAAGAAAAAAATGAGAATAAGAAAAGCTAAAATCAAAGAGAATTTGTTATATGTGTATATGTGCATAGAAAAAACCCTGGAAAGACATACACTAAAGTGTTAACAGCAGATTTATGATGGGATTATGAGTTATATTTTCTTCTATGTATTTAAAAAATTTTTTTAGTTGTAGATGGACACAATATCTTTGTTTTATTTATTTTTTTAATGTGGTGCTAAGGATCGAGGTTCAGTGCCTTATGCATGAGAGGCAAGCACTCAACCACTGAGCTATAACCTCAGCCCTCTTCTGTGTATTTTTGCAAGAAAAATATGTATTAGTTTTGTAATCGTAAACAAGTCAGAGAAAAGATTTATTCAAAACAAACGGAATAAACCCTCTTTATTTGGTAATCAATATAGCTATCTCTACATCTTTTATAGTCTCCAATTAGTAAAGCATTAATTGTATTTATTTTAATCTGCATGCCAATGAAAATGGACTAATACAATATTGTGCGTTATGAGCAGAGATGGGAGGGGATGGGAGGATGGATGATGTACTACAAGCAGAATTATTTGTAGAGTTTTTAAAAACTATACATGACTAAAGCTGCAGGATTGTAAGTTCGAAGTCATTCTGGGCAACCCTGTCTCAAAAAAAGGGGTGGGGCAGGGCTGGAGATGTAAATCAGAAGTAGAGTACTCCTGGGTTCAACCTCTAGTAACCCCCTCCAAAACACACACAAACAAAACCCCTCAAAAAACTCAAAACAACTATGTTTGACTGTTGTCTCTGTGTGTTCTCTGTTCTCATCTTGTATGGCCCTTGCATTTTCTTGATATGCCTTTCATCCTCCTTCCAGAGAATCACAACATTAGTATTATGATTAATCAGTTAACTAACATTATGATTTATCAAAATTTACTAGAGCTTAAAAGTGGTTTTATCATACAGCTAACTTTTAAATTCAAGCATATCATGTCACAAAGGTACTGTTATAGGAAATGTTCTCATGAGGCTCCTTACTGCGAGAGTATTGCCTGTCTCTCTGATGCTATGTAACTGTGGTCACTATTGATCAAGTGCTTTTGTCCATTTCCTCCATTATAGTGCATATTCAGGAATGTTATTATTTTTAAGGATTTTATAAAGGAATTCATCATTCTGTTTCCCTTTCAAATGAAAGGCACTTCTATATGTTTGGGTATCATTTGGCAAATGTCAAACAATGAAAACATGATCAATTTTATCTACAGAACCAAGAACTAAGGAGTCTCTTGGGATCATCGGAGGATTTGTGCCAATGAAAGTTTAGCAAAAGGTCATCAAGTTTACACATTTGTAACTAACCACTTTCCTTAATATCAGCTACATTTTATCTTTAAAGAGTCTGGTGCTTTATTTCTGAACAGCAGATATTTTCATACTTTATTTAGCAATTTTCTTAATTTTTGCTCTTATTCAAAATACTGAATTTTAAGATGACCATTTCATAGTTCAAGATGTCATATTTATATTTCTGAACGTTTGCAGATAAATTTAACTATAAAGTTGAACAGATGTCTTTCCCTGTAAAAATTATGATAATGTAAAATACATACCCAATGATTTGGAAACCAATATTATTCTGTCCCTGTATTTTGGTTTGATACAAACAGGATTTCCATTTAGATCCATTTTACATAATTTCACCAGCTTGTTCAGTAAAAATTCCAAATCCTATAATTAGAGAAGAAAAAGTAAGCCATAAGTATTTCATAATTTTCTGTACTTCTAGCATGTCCATTTCTATTTTTAATTGCTGTTTTCTTTTTATATTTATGTTTTAGTTGTAGTTGGACACAATACCTTCATTTTATTTATTTTTTTATGTGATGCTAAAGATGGAACCCAGGGCCCCGCACGTGCTAGGCAAGTGCTCTACCACTGAGCCACAACCCCAGCCCTAATTGCTGTTTTCTAAAATTACTGTTTTTCATAGAGTTCTAGTTCAGTGCCAGGTATTCAGGTGATGCATAATAACTGGTTTTTTTTTTTTTAATAAAATGGCCTATGGTAGTAGAAGGGACTAAGGAAAAGGCAAAAAAAGTGATATCCTGACTTGGGGAGTCACAGTACTGTTCTTGGTTATACCTGCCTTATGTGAGCCCAAACTACAGCTCACATAACATTTGTGCTACAGAAGAGGCCCTATTCTTAGTGGAATTTATAGAAGTTTACAGAGTAGGGCAGTTAGGAAGTACCGAGTAAACAGACAATTGGCATTGCAAAAAATATATTTTGATGCCTTTTATTTTATAAAGAATTTAGAAAAAGCTATCAAAAGGAAAAACAGAAAAATATCACTTTTGTCACTCAAAGATCACTTTTATATCTGTGCAGTCTTCTTTTTTGAGCATAGGTATTTCTTTTAAAATTGGCACCATACTCTGGGTATAATTTTTTACATACTGTCATAAATTTTGCATGCTTTTTATAGCTTACAAGAAAAGAATAATTTATTTTGTGTTCTACAACTCAACTGAATGTGAGGAAAACATATTAAAGGCACATAAGAGCCAATTCTTCCAGTTTGCCCTCCTTAGTGCCTCTTTCTCTCTTATTGGATTTCTTTCCCCATCCACTGTCACTTCCTTTCCCCATAGTTTTTTGTCATTTATTTTCTTGCCTTCTTCCTCTTTTCTTCTTTAAACAAATATTTTGTCTTAACTACTAGGTAATAGAAATTAAATATACTTTGAGGGTTAGGGTTGTGGCTCAGTGGTAGAGCACTTGCCTAGCATGTGTGAGACCACTGGATTCTATCCTCAGCACTGCATAAATAAATAAAATAAAGGCATTCTGTTCATCTACAACTAAAAAAAATTTTTTTCTTTAAAATATACTTTGAGTAGTTTTTATATATGCCAAAAATTTCTGGCTTTTATTTTAAAACTTAGATGTTTAGTCTATTATGAATTACACAAAAAAGGTAATGTACTTAGGTTGTTTTCAAATCTTGGTTATTCTGAATAATACTGTAATGAACATAGAGTAGATATGATTTCATATTCTTTGGTTATATACCCAGAATTTAAGTCTGTGCTTGACCCCGAGGGATCCAAATAATCTATGTGAAAATATAGGACTTATTTTTTTGTTAAAGGCAATCCTAAATTCCTTGGCACTGTTACTTACTTGAGACCTTAGGCAAGCCTACGACTTCCTCTATAAAGTGAGGATAATTGCAGTAATTGTCATGGCATATACAGTGCTGGAAACAAAACAGGTAAATCAGAAATATGTTCATTTTCTCTTTGCCTGCCCTGCTATTCCTCAGTGAATTCCCTTTCTCTTAATTTTGGTCAACAGAGAAAAAGTTGTAAGTAAGAAAGAACAAATTTCTGACCTAATGACAAACAAGTAATTGACTTCTTCTAAGAAAGCTCTCTTCACAAACTATAGCTTCAGCCCTCAGCCTTGAGACCTAGACTATGCCTGCTCCATAGCATTTATTCAACAGCATTTAATACAGCTTGCTATAATTTTCTTATTCTATGTGAGAATTACACCGTATTACTCTTACTTTAA